CCGTTCATCAGCAGACTTAAACACTGTTGTTAGTAAGGGATTTTCTTTGAAAGCTGTAGTCCTCTTTCAGGTACTATTTAAGGCTTAGTATGGACACTGAAGGAACTGCTGCCGTCACCTGCAATACCTGTGGGATGTTTGTATTCTTACCTACAGAGGTGGGGAACTACACATGCTCCAAGTGCAAGTTGGTAGCCCTCTTGGAGGACAAAGTACAGCAGCTGGAGGCACGGGTAGCTACACTTCAACATATTAGGGAGCAAGAGGCTTTCCTTGACAGAACAGAACAAACGGTCTTGGACAGGGAACACACAGAGGAAGTTTCTGGAGAAGAGAATGTCACATCACACACACAGGAGGTAGAAAGCTGGAGGAAGGTCACACGCAGAAGTAAGTTTCTCAAAAGGGAGAAAATTGTTCAAAGATGAAAAGAAGGAAGGAAGGAAGGAATTTAACTGAGCATTGAAAAAAAAAATGCAAAGTGTCAGCTGAGCAAGAATACAATTTCCTGGGTGGGTGTCTGAGCCCTCATTCATTCTGTCACTGGGACATAGAATGCTGAAATAATATCTCAGACACAAGAAGCCTTGGGACATGCATATATGCTTGTATAACCTAGGGTTGTGTGAGTGTATGTGTTTTTAAGTTCATTGCACAAGAAGGTATTTAGTACTTCCTTGTGCAATACCTCCCCTACTGTACAAGACAGCTTCACCATACTAATGGGAGGACAGGGGGACACCCAGTCTGCATTCAGTGAACACAGTGAAGATCTGGAGGGTTAATGGCTTCTCTATTTTTTTTGTTTTGTTATAACCAAATGTTATCCAGAAGAAATCTTCCCTCCCATGTTTACTAAATGGCCATGTGGGCATGCATGGGCACTGAGAAAACTATGTGACTGTTGTGTAAGACTAAAGCCATAGTTTCCCAGCCCATATATTCATACTATGGATTTGGAGAACTGTGTTTTCCAAATGTCTTGCTTGCATGAAAGGATGCTCCCTTTGCAGGAATCCAAGCAATAGCCTTAAAGCTTGCAGGGAAGCCTCTCTATAACAACATTGGACTATAATAGTTTCATTTCCATGCTGTTAGATTTTGTAAAGTGAACAAATACAACCCTCTATGTGCAGAACCTTGGAAAATGTGTAATGAGTGGAGCAGAGGTAGAAGAACTTACCAGTGACCCTGATATGACAAAGAGCTTTTACAAACATGTCCACAAAACTTAAGAGGGCATATTAAGCAAACCAGAGTGACAGAATGAGTCAGTTTTTAGTTTGTCTATGAGGCTGAAAATACATTGCTTTGCCAGGTTAAAATCTGTTTCCTTTCTCCTTCAGTTTGCATCACTGTTTATTATGGCATGAAGATAAAACAAATCCCACTCAGTCTCTTAACAAATGTTGTTAAACATTGTAAAGGCAGAAACACAAGGCTTGACACTTTCTCATCTACCTCTCCCATTCATGATGGATTTATGACAAATCAGCAAAGACCCTGAAAACAGTCATATGCTTGCATGATTAAGTGTAGACTTCTTTTTAAGAGGAGTATACTGCTGTTTGGAATGTGATGATATTGTTGAGTGACTTTCAGCTGAATACCAGACAAGGAATCAAAGGAGTGAAGAGAAGAGCAAATAACAGTGGGAACAGAACAGATCATTTAGTGAACTGTGAAGAAAAGAGGAAGACAAAAAGGCAGATACATATGAGGAGAGGCAGGAGAGCATATAACAAAAGAGTAAACTTGCTATAACTGAGAGCTCTTCAAACCTGCTAGCATTTGAAATTCTAGTCATTGGAGATAGAGATTGAAATCTGATATCTTTTACCTGGAGGTAAGCTCCACTGAGAGTCAGTGCGATATAGGAGTTTGAGTATTGGACTGCAACTCTTGAGATGGGTTCAATTCCCCACTTGGCCATGGAAACCCCCTGGGTGACCTCAAGTGAATCACATACTCTCAGCCCCAGAAAACTCAATGATAGCTTCACCTTAAAGTTTCCTTAAGTCAGAAACACCTTGAAGGCTCAATAATAATAATAATAATAATAATAATAATAATAATAATA